CTGTAACTAAACTTGGTCAGGTGATAAGTAGCTGGCATACATGGGTTGCTGTAACTAAACTTGGTCAGGTGATAAGTAGCTGGTATACAGGGGTTGCTGTAACTAAACTTGGTCAGATGATAAGTAGCTGGCATACAGGGGTTGCTGTAACTAAACTTGGTCAGATAATAAGTAGCTGACATACAGGTTTTGCTGTAACTAAACTTTGTCAGATGGTAGGTAGCTGACATACAGGGTTTGCTGTAACTAAACTTTGTCAGATGGTAAGTAGTTGGCATACAGGGTTTGCTGTAACTAAATTTGGTCAGATGGTAAATTGCTGGCATGCAGGTGATGTATTTAAGCTGGCTTTAGTTCTCTGTTGCATCTGTCCAATGCACATCTGTATCTGTTGCTGTAAAATGAATGAAATGATGCTCTACACATGACTTGGAGTAGTGTGACCCCAACAGAGATAACTTACAGCTAGTTCAAAGGTTTAGCAGGTCATTGTACAGTTGGAACTATAAATATAAACCATTTAGTCACACAAAATGTGGTTGTAATATAATTTAGAGTAGTGTGACCCTCCAATAGAATTTTCTTCTTTCTCCACTCCAACAGAGGGAATCTAGACCCTGGTTTATCATATAGATTATTATCACAGTTCTGAAGTATTTTAAGCTTCATTCACTGAATATAATAATAATAGAATTTGATGAACATGTATTGAGTAAAGCCCTTCAATATTATCTTTTATTAAATGTACTAATTCTGCTACCTTGAAAAATAAGGACAATACATTGGAACTGTGCCATTACCATTATAACCACTACTACTACAGCTGAGGAAGAGAGAGAATATCAACTATGCCGTAAATGTTATCCTATCAATGCAAGTTTAATAAGGCTGAAGAAATAATGCTTGGAGATGGCTTGAATGGGTAATGAAGAATAAACTTTAATATAAGTTTAACATAACAGCAAATGTACAACGTTTCGATAAGGTTTTGTCATCATTGCCGTCTCCAAGCATTATTAGTCTCAAAGTGTGTTCCTCGTCATCAAAGGCTTAACAAACTCCACTGGTATTGATATATTTTTAATCTGTTAATGGTGCAAGGTCTTGTATATTAAAGTAACTGTTGTTTAGTGCTGGAATAAACTTTGGATTATAATTTTCATCTGTGGAATTTTATTTTTCATTTAATTCCAACTGTTTCTCTTATGGACATATCTAAAGCTTATTCTCTTATGGACATATCTAAAGCTTATTCTCTTATGGACATATCTAAGGCTTATTCTCTTATGGACATGTATAAGGCTTATTCTCTTATGGACATATCTGAAGCTTATATTCAGTTGTGTCATAATTTTAGTTCCTTGGCTAAATGGTCTGTGTTTTCGTGCGTGGGGGGTACTTTTGTCGAAAGGTCAATTTATTAATGTATTATGTTATTTTAAAGCGTGGTTAAGAAATAAGAAATTGTTTGACTTTTGTAAGTTTTCTCACCAAAGTAACTTGGATGTTTTTTGTTTTTTTATTCTACAGTTGATAAGTTTATGGAGTGTGGTTCTCAGGGTTATATCCAAGTTTTACTTTATTGTGTATTGTTAGGGGTGTTTCTTGTGTGTGATTTGAGGGTTTGTTCTGATAGTTTATTGTTTATTATTATAATTATTAATTTTTTGAAGTAATCCTGTGTATTATAGTTGCATATTTATATATACCATTACTATGTGCATGCCCCCCCCCCCCTTCATGAGGGAGGGTTAGTAAAGAAAAAAATAATTAGAGTTATAATTTTATTAATAGTGTCAACTATAACAGTGTGAAATCTATTACGAAAGTGAATATGATATAAGAACATCAAGAAAATTTCCTTGTTGTATTTACTGAAGTGAATCTAATAAAAGAACATTAGGAATATTTCCTTGTTGTTGTATTTACTGAAGTGAATCTAATAAAAGAACATTAGGAATATTTCCTTGTTGTTGTATTTACTGAAGTGAATCTAATAACAGAACATTACTAATATATCTTTGTTGTAATTACTGAAGTGAATCTAATAAAACAATGTTAGGAATATTTCCTTGTTGTTGTATTTACTGAAGTGAATCTAATGAAAGAACATTAGGAATATTTCCTCCTCATTTTTATAACAGAGGTGATTCTAACATTTACAAATTGTTAATATTTCCTCTAACTTGTGATTGTATGAGTGGATCTACCAAAACAACATTAAGAAAAATTCCTTCTTGTGATTACATAAGTGGATCTAACAAAAAGACATAGGACTATTTCCTCCTATTTCTGATTACATAAGTGGATCTAACAAAATGACATCAGGATTATTTCCTCCTCCTTCTGATTACATAAGTGGATCTAACAAAATGACATCAGGATTATTTCCTCCTCCTTCTGATTACATAAATGGATCTAACAAAATGACAGGATTATTTACTCCTCCTTCTGATTACATAAATGGATCTAACAAAATGACAGAATTATTTCCTCCTCCTTCTGATTACATAAGTGGATCTAACAAAATGACATCAGGATTATTTACTCCTCCTTCTGATTATATATGTGGATCTAACAAAATGACATCAGGATTATTTACTCCTCTTTGTGGTTGCGGAAGTAAACCTAATGATTAAACTTTGATAATATTGTTAAGCTCGCTTAAACTCCCAAACACCTAATGCATATTTCTTTACAATTAAGGTGTGTTTTGTGTGTGTGTATAAAATTTTGACATTTCATGCTGGTATTAAAAATTATTTTAGTATACAATCTCTTGAAACATTAAGACAGTTTATATACTGATGTGAAACCATAAATGTTTTCAGGCCTGTCCTTATTTTGTTACTTTCCATGTCTTTGAAACTTCTAAGTATCAATAAAAAACATGGCTAAAATTGTGTGTTTTTACAGGTGCATCTTACACAATGTCCATTGACCACAAGAACATAGGCCAGGTGCTTAAAACCAAAATTCCAACGTAAGTTCCAAGTTAAGAGTGCACATTTAGAACAGTACATAAACTTGATAACTAGCATGCATGTATTAACCATTGCTAACATAACAATGTTTTGTATTCAGGTGTTATCTTCAGAATGTTTAGTTCACTTGAATGAAAATCAGTGCTTATTTTATTTCAATTGAATTGCTTTTCATTATATGTTGAAACTATGTAAAATGAATTATTTTTTGTTCAGAAAATCTCATATTTAAATAATATTCATAAATTTAGTTACATCATGAGATGTGTTAAAAAATTGAAATAACCAGAATAAATTTAAAAGTATGTTGCATATCATTGCACAAGCTAAGTTGGTAATGGATATGGTTACACAGCCTAGTAATGGATACTGGTTACACTAGTTGGTAATGGATATGGTTACACTAGTTGGTAATGGATATGGTTACACAGGCTAGTAATGGATACTGGTTACACAGGCTAGTAATGGATACTGGTTACACTAGTTGGTAATGGATACTGGTTAAACTAGTTGGTAATGAATATGGTTACACAGGCTAGTAATGGATACTGGTTACACAGGCTAGTAATGGATGCTGGTTACACTAGTTGGTAATGGATATGGTTACACAGCCTAGTAATGGATTATGGTTACACAGACTAGTAATGGATACTGGTTACACAAGTTGGTAATGGATATGGTTACACAGGCTAGTAATGGATACTGGTTACACAAGTTGGTAATGGATGTTGTTACATAGACTTGTAATGGATACTGGTTACACTAGTTGGTAGTGGCTGTGGTTACACAGACTAGTAATGGATACTGGTTACACAAGTTGGTAATGGATGTTGTTACACAGACTAGTAATGGATACTGGTTACACTAGTTGGTAGTGGATGTGGTTACACAGACTAGTAATGGACATTGGTTACACAAGTTGGTAATGGATGTGGCTACACAGGCTGATAATGGATACTGGTTACACTAGTTGGTAATGGATGTGGTTACACAGACTAGTAATTGGTACTGGTTACACTAGTTGGTAATGGGTTTTGGTTATACAGACTAGTAATAGTTACTGGTTACACAAGTTGGTAATGGGTTTTGGTTATACGGACTAGTAATGGATACTGGTTACACAAGTTGGTAATGGGTTTTGGTTATACGGACTAGTAATGGATACTGGTTACACAAGTTGGTAATGGATGTGGTTACACAGGCTAGTAATGGTTAATGGTAACACTAGTTGGTAATGGGTACTGGTTACACAAGTTGGTAATGAACATCGGTTACACGAGTTAGTAATGGTTACTGGTAACACTAGTTGGTAATGGGTACTGGTTACACGTGTTAGTAATGGTTACTGGTAACACTAGTTGGTAATGGGTACTGGTTAAACTAGTTGATAATGGTTACTAGTTACAGAACATGGTAATGGGTGCTTGTTAACCTAGTTAATAATTGGGACTGCTTACACTTGTTGGTAATGGGTACTGGTTACATAAGTTGGTAATGGATACTGCATGGTAATGGTAGTGATTATTTGTTGCACAAATTGATAATGGATACCAGTTCTATCAAAGAAAACTTTTTTATAATTCTTTATTAATTATTTTCTGATTTTATTATTTGTGTTTTGTTTGTTTCATAACTTTTTTCATGTGAAGTTAATGTTACTGATGTGAGAACGTTCTTATTGTTCACATGTTTCTGAAGGTTGACTGTTCTGCACTGCACTTCTTTGATACTCGATACTGAGGTAAGCCATAATAATACCTGTTTTTACATGATGTATAGAGATTGTGGCAAGTGGTTTATGTGCAGAGATACGCATGACATCCTCTTGTGTGTAATTTGAATAAACCGTAACAGATAAGCTTGAAAAAAGGAAGAAAGCAGAGTGTTCATGATTTATTTTAATTTTCACAGAATTTATAATTTTACGTCAGAGTGAAATAGAGATCCAGCAACTTTCCAGCTAAAATTACTGACAAATTTGAATACTGAAATAACAGTATGGCATTCATAGAATTAAGACTGACCGTTTCTTACATTTTAACTAATTTTTAAAACGTAATAAAGAGCTAAGAAAGCTGTTTTTTGACAGTTGCTTAACAAAATTGACCTGATATGTAACTGATGAAAAAAATTATATTGATGGTAGTTTTATTTATATTTGAGTGAATCCTACTAATTGCTGCTATGATTTCTTATGTGCCTTACACAAAAGTATGAGTTATTTCACTCCATTTTGTAGACCATTTCTTTATAATGAGTATGGTAGCTGACAAAAATATAAAATTATTTAATAGCTTGCAATATGTGGGCATCACTGGTAGTGAACATGTTGAAATTTAGAGTTTAAAAAAAAAAATTGTATGGTTTTCTCAACTATCAATGACTATCTGATGTACCTGTTCTGCGCATACAGACCCCTCCCCCCCCTTCCCGGAGTAACATAAAGGATTCACATCAAAATACCAAATCTCCTGTTTCACTCGGTGCCCTTAGGGCAGTTTGAAAGTTTGATATGGAAAAAAAAGAATAGTATGGGGAATATATAGGGATTCTTGGAAAGGAAGGTGTGAGAGGAGAGGTCAGATAGTTTGGTTAAAATCAGTCAAAAAATATAGGTGTAAGGGCAGACACACAAACAAGACAGTAAACCCATCTTTGGGGTATCATCCAAATGTTGACACCCCTCCCCCGACACTCCTTTGAGGGCCCTAAGAGTGCGTGTCAAGTACCATTGTGATCAGTACGGTTGTCAATGAAATGAACTACATAATGAAAAATTTTTGTAGAAGCTTTTATATTGTATAATGTGAAATAGCCTTTGCACTTTCTTGAAGTTATATAACTATTCTTATGAAAACTTAAACCAGTTTTTATCTTGCACTCTCATATCGTCAGATTTGTTTCAATAATTTTGTATTTGTGAATAAAGTTTTTAGAATGTGTTGTTCATATGGTGTTCACATCAGGTATGTTGGTCTGATTGTGGCCTAATGGTCAGCATGTCCAGACTGTTAATCTAAGGGTCCATGGTTCAAGCTCTGAACCACAAAAACCTACTTCACACTTTTGAATCATGAGTGCATCAGAAGAGTGACAGTTAAATCCCATTATTTAGTGAAACAAGAGTGTCTCAAAGGTTTACTGTTAGTGCTATTAACCTTCTCTTTACACTTTCAGCTCAAAATTAGGGATAGCTAGAAGAGATAGCCCTTGTGTAGGTTTGCATGAAAAGTCTAAAATAAATATGTTATCTAAAAACAGGAATCTCGTCATTTGTTTTGTACATTTTTTGCCTTTCACATCAATTATATATAAGTGGCTGATTATTCTGGATTTTTTTTAAAAGCTAAACAAAGACAAAACTGTGATAAAAAACATCTTAGAGAAGTTTCTCCTGTCAGCTTACAGATTCCATGCTCTCGTAATGAAGTGTCCAGTGAACCGACGGTTACAAAATCCCCAATTTTTACTAGGTATAGCTGTTTCATAAATTATTTTATATATATCTTTCTCCTTTATATTTTGAAACTTTAATTTCTAATGAGACTGTTACTGATGTGAAATATATTCTTATGTTAACAATATGATTTGAATTATCAAAAAATATTAACTTTAATAGAAAAGTATCAATATTTTGTATTGAAACATATTTAAAGTGAACAGTAAAGTCCCTAATAAATAATTAATTTGATTGTTATTTATGTATATGTTCGAAAGTAAATTTTTCTTAAAACATAATAATGTGTTGATTTTTGAATACCATATTATGTAAATCTTAATTATAAAAAAATAATGCTTTATTATTCACTATAAAACAAACAATTATTGATGCCCCCCTATGGCTCATTTGTAAGTTTGAGGGCTTATTTATAATGCTAAAATTCAGGAGTTTCATCCCTGTTATGGGCACAGTGCAGTTAACTTTCCTTGGCTTTGTGCTTATCAAGAAAACATTTATTGAGATTTTTTTTTAAACAAGATTTATTTAAAATAATAAGTATACAGACAAGTTTGGAAATTTTGCTAACTACCAAAATGATCATCTTTTAACAAAAAATTATAAATATTTTTATATTTTGTTCTAAATATGTTAAATTTTATGCACACAGGGGTGATTCTGGACACTTCCTATACCTTGTTTCAAAGAATCAAGACCTATATTAAGTCATTAAACATGACTTTTAATTTATCAAGGAGAGAGATTGAGTGGTAAGCATAAAGTTTGATACAGAACTTTATTTTTAACTAACAAAATCCCTCAGTTGTTCAACATTAAGTCTGAAGGCTTATAATTCTAAAATCAGGTTTCGATACTCAGAATGAGCTGGGTACAGGTAACCCATTGTGTAGTTTTGTGCTTAACAACAAATAAATAACTCACAAAAATATTAAATATATAGTAAAAGTTAAAAACACTTACATTTGTTCTTTCCTTATTTAGGATCTGTTTAAAAGCATTCCAAATCAAGTTTTCTACGAAAAAGGCACTTTACAAGCCATTGCTCACGCCTCTTCGTAAGCTTATTTGCTGGAAAAAACCAAAGATCGTAAGTAGCAATATTTGTGTTTTATTTTGTTAAATTTTAAGAAATGGAAGAAGTTTCTATAGTTAAGTTTTTCAAGGAACAACTTATAACTGTGTGTGATTTGGAAAAAAATATTCATCCTTGTTTTACTCGTATTAATTTAGCATTTTGTATATAAAAAAATGACAAAGTTTTAAAATTAATATTCTTGTAATGTTATCAGTAAATGGATTTGAGGAGTAATTCATGCTTTATCACTAGTCCAGAAAACAAATTCTGTTTTGTCTGATTTAATGATTCATCACTAGTCCAGGAAACAAATTCTTCTTTGTCTGCTTTAATGATTCATCACTAGTCCAGGAAACAAATTCTGCTTTATCTGTTTAATAATTCATCAAGAGTCCAGGAAACAAATTCTGCTTTAATGATTCATCACTAG